GCTCTCTCCTGGTTTTCCTCTTACCTTTCTCAGCGCCACATACAACTTCTCCTCCTCCCCCTCTTTCCATTGGGGTACCCCAAGGCTCTGTCCTTGGGCCCCTCCTTTTCTCTCTGTACACCTCCTCCCTGGGCCAATTGATAACCTCTCATGGGCTCCAATACCACCTCTATGCTGATGACACCCAGATCTCTCTCTCCACTCCCCAGCTCACCCCCTCAATCTCCTCCTGTATCACAAATCTATTAAGTGACATATCAGCATGGACTTCACACCACTACCTTCAACTCAATCTTTCCAAAACTGAGCTTGTAATATCCCTCCCCCCAGATCCCCCACTCATGACTTTACCATAAAGATCAACAGCACAACCATTGGTCCTTCCCTTCATGCCAGGGTGCTAGGCGTAATCCTAGACTCTGACCTCTCCTTTGGGCCCCACATCCAATCACTGGCTAAATCCTGCCGCCTCAACCTCCGGAACATTTCCAAAATCTGCCCTTTCCTGACCAATGACACCAAAAAACAACTTATCCACGCCTTGGTTATATCCCGCCTCGATTACTGCAAATCCCTCCTCACTGGTCTACCGTTACACAGGCTATCCCCCCTTCAGTCTATTATGAATACTGCTGCTAGACTCGTACACCTTACCAACCGATCAGCGACTGCTGCCCCTCTCTGCCAATCCCTCCACTGGCTTCCACTAACCCAACGTATAAAATTCAAAATGCTAACCACAGCATACAAAGCCATCCACAACACTGCCCCTAGCTACATCACCAACCTCATTCACAGATACTGCCCAAATCACCCACTCCGCTCCTCCCATGATATCTTCCTCTCTAGCTCCCTCATCACCGCCTTCCACGCTCGCCTCCAGGACTTCTCCAGAGCCTCTCCCATCCTCTGGAACTCCCTAACACAGCATGTCCTTTCAGCCCTCACCCTGTCTTCCTTTACGCGATCTTTGAAAAACTCACTTCTTCAGGGAAGCCTACCCCAGCTCCACCTAAGAACTGTACTTGAATCACCTCCACCAGATCATCCCCCGCAGCTATCACTTTAGCAGAGCCATGGAAAGCAGTGTGCAGGAGCTGACAGGGAAGAGATCTGTATTGTTTACATACAGGTCTCTCCCCCATTGCTAACACTCGGAGATCGCCGGGTGTCGGTGGGGAATCACCATCTGGGACCCGGTGATTGATAGCCAAGGCTGTGAGCAGCAGCACATGCACTTCCTACCCAGAACTGAAAAATCACACATATATACTGTGTGTGTGTATGTGTATATATATATAATGTGTGATTTTGCGCACGTGTGCCGCCCTGTAGCAGTATTTCTGCTAGAGGGCGGCATGGAAGCTGCTAAGGAATGTGTACTGGTCGTTAAGGATGTGGCAGCCGCCCGCTCCTTAACAACCATGACAGTTACTGGCTGTTTAGGACTCTGGCAGCCTCCTGCTCCTTAGCAATGCGGTATTACTACTGTTAATAAATATGTCAGCTACCGCCAGGCGCTACATTACTGCATGCTTTCAATACTAAAATGACCTTGTTTACATTAGGCCGGAACTGGAAGTGATATAATAATGTCGCTACAGTCCTCCTAGGCCATAGAGATGAGTGGAGTCCACCGCGATTACCAGATTGGTTCTCGGGCTCACCCAGGTAAGCCTGAGAACCACCAGAAATTGGCGGGGGGAGGACGCAGACTTCTCCCGCCGTTTCTAAAAGTGATCCAGCGGCGAATCCGCTGCTAAGATCACTTTTAGCAGAATGGGTATTACCCACTGAAAAAAAAAAAAATACTGGGGTTATGGCACATTGCTGCAGCCATAACCCCGGTATTCCACTTCCAACCGAGGACGTCTTTTGACTATGGCCCAGTTAGGAAGTGTGATACAATGAATGCCTACTGAGGAAGTCCCGCCCAGGACGTAATGCATATAGGGGGGTGGAGCCACATACAAGATGTCATCCTATGGCCATCTTAATATTGCATTCAGGGGTGGACTGACAACTCATGGGGCCCCCGGGCAAACGGGGATCATGGGGCCCCTGTGTCCTTGCCCAAGCTCAAAAAAGCCTATGAAAAAGGTACCAGGGGCATCTCAAGGGCCCCCTACTGACCCCGGGCCCTCAGGCAGTGCCCAAGTTTCCAAATGGTCAGTCCGCCCCTAATTACATTGTATATCTCAGCCTTGCAGTGTGCCTTATCTTTTGAGGGTCTTTTATTAGCAGCATTAAAAGAGTTTACACAGAGAGAACTAATGGCTGTTCCTTTATCTTGCATGGATATTCCGGCATGTTCAAGCTTTGCAGCAAAGGAGAAAAGCATTTGAGTGGGAGTTTAACCCTTTAAAGGGAGAGCGCATTTGACCTACTGTTGGTCATATTCTGGAGGTGCGCGGCCAGTCACTTTTGGTTGAGGCATTTGGCAAAATGGGTGATCACTGGAAACACTTTGGTGATCAGACTTTGGATTAATACATTTGTTGTTGGACTGTTTTTGATTTATTTATTTAATAACTAGGTTGCTACAGTATTTTTGTTTACTCTCTGAAAGTCGCCTGGCTTGAACTAGGACTTTCATTGGACCACTCTGCCTGTCAGCCAACTGTGAGTACCTATTTTCCGTGCTTGGCTCGTTCCTGTCCCGGCGTGGTAGCCAGTCACTATACCGTTGTGTATAAGTCCTGGGGGCAACTGAGTACCGGTAGGCCTACTTGTCTTATGGGAAAGAGGACTGCTGTAGGTGAAGTACACAGAGTCACCTATAGTGCCTGACCACCAACGCTAGGGGTAGGTGTGACAGCTGGACCAATGTAACTGTCAAAATTGCCATACCTGGAATTTAGCTTTAATATCAATTGATACAACCAGGTGCCATAGAGAAACTTCACTTGGGGGTTCCACCATAACCTGTGGTTATGTCACTGTATGCTAATAAAACTAGATGACTAGTCTTTTAAAACAAAACAATAGCTTGATAATCAAAAAAAACTTCCTTGTTACATTTCCTATAGCATTCAAAATATCTTTGTTCCTCAAAGTGTAGACAAAGGGGTTGAGCATTGGAACCACCGCTGTATAAAGCAAGGAGAACAACTTGTCCAGTTCTCTAGAATGCTCAGATTCTGGTTTGGTGTACAATATAATGATTGGAAAAAAGAAGATTATAACCGTGATGAGGTGGGAGGTGCAACTGGAAAAAGCTTTGTGTCTTCCCTTTGAGGACTGCATTTTCAAAATGGTGGAGATGATGAACAAATAGGACATTATAATAAGCAAAAAAGGCAAAGATACCAACAGTAAAATTTGAAATAGCAGAAGTAAGTTTCTGCTTGTAGTATCGCTAGAAGTAAGGGTGTACAACATTGCTTGCTCACAAAAGAAATGGTCAACGTTTACTGTGGGACAGAAGGACAATGGAGATGTAATTAATACATCCATTGTTGCATTGATGGCAGATATAGCCAGGAACACAGAGCCAGTGAGGTATATACACCTTTACTCATGTTTAAGGAATATTGTAACGGTAAACAGATTGCCACGTATCGGTCATAGGACATGGAGGTCAGTAACATTATATCACAGGCAGCTGACAATGAGAAGAAGTATACCTGAGCCATACACGCAGAGAAAGACATCCAATGGTCATGTGTCAGGAGCATGAAGAGCAGTTTTGGAAGAGTAATTGAAACATATATAACATCGTTAACAGCAAGATTACTCAAGAAGAAATACATTGGAGTATGGAGCCGGGGAACCAGACCCACCAACAGAGCAATGGTCATGTTTCCAAAAACAGTCATCAGATACATCAATAGAACTGCAGTGAAAAGGAGACGTTGCCCAGTCTCAGAAGTGGAAAATGCTAAAATGTAAAATAAGTGTCCCGTACTGTTTGAACATTCCTCCATCTTTCTTTTCTGGAAAAAAAAGTTTATTGGTTTGTCATTGATTTGCCCTAATATCATATGAATGGGTATGTTGGTCATGAAAGGCCACCAGTTATCCAAAACTAATATTACAACGTTTGGGAGCTGCTAGAAAGTTAATCTGCCTCTTATACACTATATGGCCAACAGATTACGGACACTTGACCATCACACCTACAGTTGCAAGAAAAAGTATGTGAACCCCTTGGGATTACGTGTAGTTTTGCATGAATTGGGCATAAAATGTGCTCTGAACATCATCTAAGTCACAACAATAGAAGAACACAGTCTGCTGAACATAATACTACACAAACATTAGATGTTGCCATGGTTTAATTGCACATAACATGTAAACATTCACAGTGCAGGGAGGAAAATGTATGTGAGGCCCTTAATGACTTCTCCCAGAGCTAATTGGAGCCAGGAGTGAGCCAACCTTGACTCCAATCAGTGTGATGATATTGGATGTGTTGCTGACAGCTGTCCTGCCCTTAAAAAACACACACCTGTTTTGGGTTTACTGGTTTCAAGAAGCACTGTCTGATGTGAACCATGCCTCGCAGAAAAGAGCTCTCAGAAGACCTACGATCAAGCATTGTTGACTTGCATGAAGCTGGAAAGGGTTACAAAAGTATCTCCAAAATCCTTGATGTTCATCTGTCCATGGTAAGACAGACTGTCTACAATTGGAGAAAGTTTAGCACTGTTGCTACTCTCCCTAGCGTGGTTGTCCTGTAAAATCCCAAGGGGTTCACATACTTTTTCTTGCAACTGTATATGTGTTCATTAGACATCCCATTCCAAAATAAGTGTGCAGGTAACAAAAGTTCATCCAAAACCAATATTTCAGTGCTTGGTAGATGGTAGATGTCCACTAGGGTTGAGGTCAGGATTTGTGAAGGCCACTTGAGTTCCTCAACACCACAACAGTTCCTCAACACCAAAACTCATCATGGGGATGGCTTTGTCCACAGGAGTATAGTTATGCTGGAAGAGAAACAGGCCTTCCCCAAATGTTACGGAATGCTTGGAAGCATACTTGTCTAAAATGTCTTTGTATGCTTCTAGACATGTCCTTACCAGTCATTAGATATGAAGGTTGCATTAGTTTTCTTTATTTTAGTCTAAGAACATTTTTGAACAAGTACAGAAAATACTTCTTGATCTTGCCACAACTGTAGTGTCCTTATAACTTCCCATGATATAAACTAGTGGCAAATTCAATGTTATCTTTTCTGTACACACTACTAATCCATGCCATGGAGATGAATAAAGGAAGACGTGTGTGAAGTCCAGCTTGAGGGGCAATCATGGCTCCCTCCATAGATACAGTGTAGAAGTGTGCAGGACAGGAAGTGTGGTATTCACAAGATTTTCAGGTGGAAATAAAGCAAAAAAAGCCAGAGTAAAGAAAAACGAATGCAGGCATGCCATCTAAGGATTGGTAAGCCAAAATATATTACATTTTAGCTTTTGGATTTAGATATGCTTTATTTCACCTCCTGTACACTCTAGAGCCAACAGTTTGTGGCTTCCTGACCATCACGCCTACAGGTATATGTGCTTGTTGAACTTCCCATTCCAAAACCATTTAAAGAAAACGCAATGTGCTAGATCATTTGCAGCTAGAACAGTTTCCAGTCTTCTAGAAAGAATTCTACAGATGCCCTCAAAGAATTGAAGTGTGTCTGTAGAAATTTGTACCCATTCAGCCAAAATTAAAAACACAGCATTTGTGAGGTTAGGTACTGATTTTGGATGAGACACTCATCCTAAATGTGTCCAGTAGAGTTCAGGTTTTGTGAAGGACACTTGAGTTCCTCCACACCAAATGGATCAAACCATGTTTTTTTGGAGATGGCTTTACCCACAGGAGTACAGCCATGCTGGAACAGAAATAGGTCTTCCCTAAACTGTTACCGCATGGTTGGAAGCTTACTTGCCTATAATGTCTTTGTATGCTACTAGACATGTGTAAATCGATTGGTTACAAATTAAAATTCGGACAAAATTTTTGTTATTCGGAGGTTTGGATGTATCTCAATTCCTGAATCACAATAGTAATGGATTTCAATGAATCCGGAATAAATAATGAAATAAAATAACGTAACTAAATAGCGAATTACCCAACTTTGAATGTCAAAATGAATTAGAATTTGAAAATGAATTAGATTTTAAAAATGTATTGAAATTTGAAATGGAAACAAAATGCAATAAATACAGTAAGGTATAAAAGTGATATAAGATGATATTTCCTATAGGAATAGGATAGAATAAAAAATAAAAGAATAGAATAAAACAGAACAGAATAACATAGATTAAAATAGAATCAATATAGCTGTGTTCAAAAATTTTAATCGATTTGAAAATAACGAATATGCTAACCGAATCCAAATATATGAAACACATCCGAAATTACAAAATGAATTCAGAAAAGGAATCATTCTAACAGAACGCATATGGTGAAACAAAATTATTAACTTAACAAACACAAGCACATACACTGCTCAAAAAAATGAAAGGAACACTTTGTAATCAAAGTCAAGCATCAAGTCAATGACACTCCTGAGATATTGATCTGGTCAGGTAAGTAGCAGAGGGGGTTGTTAATCTGTTTCAGCTGCTTCGGTGTTAATGAAATTAACAACAGGTGCACTAGATGGGCAACAATGAGACAACCCCCCAAAACAGGAAAAGTTTTGCAGGTGGAGGCCACTGACATTTTTTTTCCTACTCATCTTTTCTCACTGTTTTTCACAGGTTTTGCATTTGGCTAGGGTCAGTGTCACTACTGGTAGCATGAGACCATAGCTGGACCCTACAGAGGTTGCAAAGGCAGTCCAACTCCTCCAGGATGGCATACCAATATGTGCCATCGCCAGAAGGTTTGCTGTGTCTCCCAGCACAGTCTCAAGAGCATGGAGGAGATTCCAGGAGACAGGCAGTTACTCTAGGAGAGCTGGACAGGGCCATAGAAGGTCCTTAACCCATTAGCAGGACCGGTATCTGCTCCTTTGTGCAAGGAGGAACAGGATGAGCACTGCCAGAGCCCTACAAAATGACCTCCAGCAGGCCACTGGTGTGAATGTCTCTGACCAAACAAACAGAAACAGACTTCATGAGGGTGGCCGGAGGGCCCGACGTCCTCTAGTGGGCCCTGTGAGCACTGCCCAGCACCATAGAGCTGGATTGGCATTTGCCATTGAACCCCAGAATTGGCAGGTCCACCACTGGCACCCTGTGCTTTTCACAGATGAGAGCAGGTTCACCCTGAGCACATGTGACAAATGTGAAAGGGTCTGGAGAACGTTCTGCTGCCTGTAACATGGTTCAGCATGACTGTATTGGTGGTGGGTCAGTGATGGTCTGGGGAGGCATATCCATGGAGGGACGTACAGACCGCTAAAGGCTAGACAATGGCACCCTGATTGCCATTAGGTATCAGGATGAAATCCTTGGACCCATTGTCAGATTTTGTTGAGCAGTGTACTCATATGCTATGACATTCCCAGTACTCTTCTCTGGAAATTTTAAAACTCAATCATTGGAAGGGATCCATGTGTTGTTGGCCATATGGTGTAGGTGTGAGGGTCAAGTGTGCACAAAGTTTTGGTCATATAGTGTATCTCTCTGGGACTCTAGAGATCCCCATGGTGATTTCCAGGCTCTACAAATCTGCTATGCTCATTATGAGGGGTTTCAATCATTCCTGCTGAATTTTTAGTTTTTTTATACTATAAAAAAATGAAATAGGAAGAGCCAAAATATGAAAAGGTAGGTTGGAGCACCCAAATTATTCAGATGGACAGGAACAGAGTTGGAAATCATGACAGGGAGACCACACTGCTGTTGAAGTATCAAAGACATATCAGAGGGCAGAGACCGATTCCAGCTACCAGACTCCACCTATAAATAACATATCACTTTGGGGGTTCACTGACCTTTCAAATTAAATCTGTACTATGGGAGAGATGCAGATTGCAGATGATGAACTGGCCTCAACTACATAGGCTCCTCTCACATCTTTGTAGATGTTGAGCACATCATTTGAAAAATGGCTTTTCGAAATTACAAATGCAGTTAGAGACTGGATGACATTTGGTCATGAAATAGTAAATTTTATAGAGGTCTGCACATCAGACCAAAAGAGAGAGACAACTGAGGAGGAAAAATGGACAGAGGGGTTTGATTCCAGAGGAGGGACAGTCCCACCAATTGAGGGACAGTTGGGAGCTATGCCGTAGTCCATAGTCCAGCTCAGGAGCAAGCAAGAGAGGGTGGCTAGGTTCCTACATACAGAGGTAAGATGGAGAACAAACATAGACACCCTTTACCGAGAACTCAGGTCACAGCAGCAAACTAAATTAATTTTGAAATTTTGGAGAGGCTAAAAGCAATAACAGAGATATTTTTTTGAGCTGAAAATACATACTTGAATAGAATTGTTTCAAATGGAAGCTGAATATATTGTCACTTTAATTCTCTCCCAGTTCTAAACATTTAAACATCATT